ATACCGGCCACCTTCACAGAAACAGGCCCATCTATCCTTGTATATAAGTGACTGGAGTTGGAGATATCGTATATATATATATAAGTAGCTGTTCCATAATGTTTGTGATATGTGGCAGAAGTGAGTTTATGGCTTGTGTTTGTTCTTCGTCTGGAATTTGAGTTTCCTGTAATATGACTATATTTACTTTAAGTTCTCGTAATAATCGAGCCAAATAGCTACCATTACCTCTGCTTCAGTTTTCAATGTTTAGTTGGAAGATAATTATCTGAGAGCCAAAATTCGAGTCAAAGAGCCCTGAAAAGGGCTGTTTTCAGAGTCTGTGTGTTGCTCGTACTTTCTGAGAGGTCTAGGATACAGTACAGCAGTCGGTAAAGGTAAATCTTTAGCCATTTAGAATGTTGCTCTGGGAACACTACGTGAAAACGATTTAGTTTTGTACCCCAATTTTTATTCTAATAGGTGTCTAGAGTCTAGACCTGCCCATATTCAAATTTTTCATATTTTATTCTCAAGCCCTATTTAATTTTATGAACCCAACTATAATACTATGTTCTATTATAATCTATCATATTATAATGGTATCGCAATAATGTATTATGATTATGTTATAATATATAAGACACATTATAAGGTTAAATTCTTATTTCAGTATAAGTATTTATTTTAAACAATTATATAGCGGTATAGGTACAAGGTACTATATTATTTATCTAAATAATATTATTACATACATGTATATTGTATAGAGTATTATTAAAACGGACAGTAGATGAATACCGTCTCGTTCGGTTTTTTAAATTTTAAATTACTATTAAAAATAAACACGATTTTGAATACAACAGTCTAAGTTTAAAAAAACCGGAAAAATCGCTCTGCTGTGTATTAGGTGTCGATTGTACATTTTTACTTCGATATTAAGTAGGTCACTATTACAGAGACTTAATCACTATAACAGATGTGTTAAATTTGAATTAAATGACAAACCATTGAATAGCAAAAACGATTCTGTCAGCCTTTATTTCTGAGAATATTATATCATTAGTTTTGATTTGTATCAACTATACAATATGTTAAATTATTTTACAGTTTTGGCAAAATAGGTAGTCTCTAGAATTACTTATTTTTGAATTAGTAACAACCTAAAAACAAAATCAATTTCACAGAAACTAGGTTTGCTTAAAGATGCCGGTTTGTCCTAATTTTATTTTATTTGAAAATATTTATTACGGTTTCAACGACGAAGTCATCAGCCGGGACAAAATAAACAATTTGCAATTTTTATTTTACATAATAATAATAATATTATTATATACATTCATCATAATAATCATACATTACACAATAAGTAATTTGGTTAATAAAAATAATAATAGTTATACTATTATTATACATAATATGTACATAATATGTGAAATATTTCAATTCGGTTGTACAAATTAGTTTTTGGAAAGAAATACATTAATAAATCAAAGTTTATTATTGATACAATATCTTCAAGATTCGTTGGCTGTAGAAAGATTTTCTCTCTTAGGCTCAGTATGGACATTCAAGGAGGAAATTTTCTTATAGATATTAAAGATGTGTTGTAGAATTCGCACAAATGGCTTGGATTGTTTTCCTTAAGTGAATGTGGGAGATATTTTATACGAGACCATATTGTTTGTTATGGTCTTATACAGGAAGGGGAGATACGGGATTGGAGCTAAAGAAGTCTTGATTTCTTAATTGTTTGTTTGTTTTTCCCGATTATTATGAAAATGAAATTACGTACGACTTTGTACTTTTTACCTCAAATCAGATTTTCTAACATAATAAATTACTCTCAAAGTTGAAAATCGAAGATTTTACTGTGCCATAAGGTGATGATAGACATAGAAAAAAAAACAATCATCATTCTTAAATCAATATATTCATTGCTCCTCTCAAAACCTTAAAATATTGATCTAATTGGTATATATTACGACTACCTGTATTACCAGAGTACCCGCCTGCGCAATGGTTAAAATAATTAATCTATCCTTCCATCGTTTTCCGCTTTGCTTCAGTTGAATAGTATAATATAATGCTAACACAATTTATAACAATGATTCATTTTATAACTGTACGCTTCTTAATTCTGGACACACATTTGATATAAACACAAATAAATGAGGAGAGAGGTTCGACGAATGTTTAAAAGCCGACTTAAATCCAATATCGTCAAGGTTGGTATTCGTTTTTATGTGTATTTATTAAAATACGTCCAGAATTAAGAAATTAAATTATAAAATGAATCACCGTAATAATTGTGTTCATAAGTATTTATTATAAGATTTGTTTTTTTTTTAATATAATCTGTAAACCAACGGAAACAATTTATATAAACAAAAAAAAGTATTCAATTTTCGTAAGCTAAAAATAAATTCATGTGTAAGCCACGCTATATAGCAACGTATAGGGGTTGAAAAATAAGCTATGAACATAGTCTATGATGTATCTATTTACAAAACTTTTATTGAAAACGGTCCAGTAGTTGAGTCTATAGAGGACAAACAAACAAACAAACATTAATTTATATATATTTATATAGATATTGAATCCCGGTAATTATATTGACTTTGTTATTGAACTAACTAATGACTTTCCTAAAATAATTCGATGTAAAATGTAATCTTATTTATATATTTACCTTTTATATAATAATATATATAAATGACAACTTACTGATGAACACAATAAAAAAATATACAATCTATAAAATATATAGGTATATAATGTACAACATCAATAACAATCTAATGGCAGACAACACATTTTTAAGACAATAATAAAAAAAACCAAATAATCCTAACGACTTACCTTTATAAAATGTAAAACTAATAATAAAAAGAGTATACCTACCACTTTAGGTATATTCCATATTATATTATTATTCGTGTTATTTTTTGTTTTTTTAAATTGTTTTCGTTTTTTGATGAAACGTTTAGTTTTAGTTAGTGTTTTACACAGAACTTCATACTTTACATCTATAAAATCCAACAAAAAAAATTTAGTATTTTATGAAGATAATATTATAATGATATTCCTAATTCAATACAAATCATCATCCATCACTTAATCACCGTCACTGCTTTGTGCTGGTAGTCACCGATATAATTTCAACAGTATTCTACCTTAGAGTCCAAAGTTAAATAATAATTTACTATTCATGTTGTGTAACTAATAATAACTATGTTAGATATTCCTTTTGATGTCCAATCGATACTAATTATTATGACAATGTAAACCTCGATGACTCGATCAAAACATGTTTAAGTAGTTCATACACTGTCTATACAAATGGTGATCTAATAAAACAATTCATTAAACCTTAGGTATAATCTACATTATGATAATATTTGGCATCTCCTTAATGCTCTAAACTTTATTTATATTTTATAAACGTCAATAAAAATTGAGTATAAAGAATTTAGCTTTAAACAAGTTACCTATGCAATAGATCAAATTTATTTAATTAATTAAGCATGTATCAATATTGTTTTGTATTTTTTGTATGTAATTTATTCAGTTAATTTACATTTTCATAAATCAAAAAAACAAATAACTATTGTATTATAATATAATATTATATAGGACATAGGTAAATATTCCTATTTCACAGAGATAATTTAATATTAGACGTGCTTTAAACATTTAATACTTGCAAAGAGTATCAACATAATATAAAAGTCGAGGAAAAACCTTGACAAAAACGTGCACTTATGATCACTTGTGTATTTTTTTTTTTTTCATATTCTGCTCTTGACGTAAATATATATAAAAAAAACATAAACACTTAAATCAATAATTATTAACCTGTGAATGACATGCATTCTCCATTGTCAACGACTTAAGAATGTATCGTCTCATATCCTAATAGAATATTTATATATAAATGGAATAATACATATTACATATTATAGTGTTATAGTATAATATCATATTTAATTTTTAAAACATTTTGCATATTTTATTAAACATTTACCCCATAAAATGGCTGCTAAATAATGTATAAGATATATTTGGTTGTATAAATACTATTAAAATTTATGAGTGTATTATGACACCATTATTTTAACCCTAATTACTTAAGTATGCCAAACGCCCAATAATTAATAATATCTTTAATCGTAATATTGTTGAAATGTTATCACTAAAAATTCAGTGAAATATGCAACAAAAATGTTTTTGTGATGAGATGGATGTACCTACTTATTCTTAAACGAGAGTATTTAGGACCAGACTTAGCATACTCTACTTTCTAAGTTATATTATGCAAACGTAGTGTCAGGTTTCAAATACTGGTTGTAAATTATCGTATTTCTAGGTAAGTAGTGAGTACTAATAATAATATATTAATGTTTTACTAAAAATAATATAGGTAATAGTGTATTATTGAATGTGAATATGTTTATACAGTGTTATATACCTACTATTGAGCTTAAAAATAAAATAAAATATAGTTTAATATAATATAGTAACGTATACAATTATATTATATAAGAGGAGTTATTATGATAATCATCGTCTTATTTTAGAACCACCTACTCTGGTCGTATGATACATATCATTTTATGAAATTTATTTATTTTAGTTCTAAAAATTGTGAATTATTACAGATTTGAATCCTAATGGATTATTATTATATTCGTGTCAAACAACTACCTTTATACAATTAAAGGTATTTTTTACGAGCGACTATATAAGCATATAAACATAAAATATATAAATGTAAACATAAACAAGAGTTTAAATTGTCAATTGATTAAATAAATATAAATATAAAACACAACATAAACATGAGTTAAAATAAACCACATCAAATAAAATTGGTTACTAAATATTAAATTTTCCCTTCCCAATGTTTCATCACTTTGGTTGCATCCTTTGTCACTGTTATGAAATCCAAAGTAGTGAAATTTGTAGGGCATTTTGGGCCGATCAAGAGGTGGCTCATGGTAGTATGTTCGTCTCCGCAGTCACATTCTTATATTACGCCCCACTTCTTTAGATTGTCTTTTGATCTCTCTCCCCGTTCGTAGTCGGTTGAGTGTTATCCATGCTGGCCAATCGAGGTCATGTCCTGCAGAGAGGTGTTCTGCTGGTGAGATTTGATCATCTTCAATATGGCCTATGGTTAATTTCCAGTAATCCGTCCGGGCTTGCTCGGGGGTTTTTGCTAACATATTTGTGCATTTTATGAAACTCTTTCTTGATTTTAATCTTGACCTGTGTATATCCTTGCCGTGAAAGTTATGTTCGACTGTCAGTTTCGAGTTTAGATCTTTCTAAGTTTGCATTAATTGTACAGGGAGGCAGTGCCGAAGCTGGTATCTCCTGCAGTCTTAATCGGTATCTTTCTGCTGCGAGCATGTCCATCAGTGGCGTATATGCCAGGAGAAGCGAGGCCTCGTCCGATACCGTTCTGTAAGCCCTCATTACTCTATGCGCAGGGGTCCTCTGTGGTTTGATGAGGAAGTTCCGGTTCCTTGCAGCACTGACAGTGTTGGGCTCCCACACTGGCGCTGGGTACAAGAACTGGCTGTCCACGACCGAGCTGATAAGTTTGCGTTTCCATTGACATGGACCACTAATGTTCTGTATAAGTCTCGAAAGAGCCACTGCTTTTTCGCAACGTTTTAAACATGTCTCGTGAATGTCCCATATCGACAGCCTTGCTGAACCTATAGCAGCGTTGGTGTATATTAGCTATAAACTCGTTAGTAATTGTATAGGATGTGCAAACTGTTTTTAATTATGGGGCGACAATCCAAAACGTACTATTTCCATTTTACACTTTTTTGAGAAATCACGATTTTCTATTTTTCCACGATTTTCGAAATAGTACGTTATGTATTTAATTCAATTATATTCCCTAATTCCCTATCTTCATACTATGGGAAATAGTACATTTTGACCTACTTTGGAAATAGTACGTTTTGTACAATTGGAGGAATTGGTACGTTTTGCGTCAATTTGTCAATAAACAAACTATTTAACATGGACAATACTACGTTTTGACGTAATTTTGGAAATAGTGCATTTAGACAAATTTTGGCTTTGGAAATAGTGCGTTTTGCGTCATTTATGAGTTTCAGATTGATTTTAACAAGGGAAATAGTACGTTTTGTCACAATTTGATTGCACTATTCGATTCCCTGCCTTAATTTCTATAAGAATCAAAATATAACTCAATTTCTTCAATTTTGGCAATAGTACGTTTTGGATTGTCGCCCCACAATTATCCTCAGTTAAATTAATTTGCATTCTACTTTCTAAGAAAAATCCAAAACTACAAACTATAAATAAAAAATAAATGTTCAGCAGTTAAAGTTTACTTTATGATTGTAAATTAATTCCATGAATAAACAGAGTATAATATTTTCTATCCTCACAAAATAGATTGGCATGAAAGCAAAATGGTTGCACCTCAAATGTTTCTACACGTCATCGATATAGTCTATATCACAGTTTTCTGCCTCTTAATGACTGACATTAGTACATTGCATATAAACATGATATTTCAATATATTAACAAAACCAACTAATCAAAGATGGAGAACTATAAGACATTGCCTGTTTTTGTGTAGGAGGTTGGCTGACTGAACAATATTGTTATAAGCCTGATATCTATGATGGTAATGATCATACCTATCTTTTTTAATGTTTTCCATAACTATCTGGATTACCTACTATTATTACCAATATTATTAGTTATTACCATTTTTTTTTTATCATTATTGTTATTATGATTGGATGTGCATGTCATCAATATAATATATTTTAGGTATACATGACGTACAATAACTCATAACGTATATTACTCATACTACCATACTCACTTTAAATACTCATGTTATTTTAAAAACAATTTTAAGTTTGTACTATTGATTTTATTTATTCACTCATATAATATATTACTTCAACCATATTAATATAATATTATAATAATATTAATTTATGGACGTTAATGACCATTTTGTTGATGCATAGAAAAGATAAAAAAGTGGACAAGTGAGTCAAACTGATCTATATTACATTGGGTGTCGTGTGGGCCACTAATGGATGTGTTGAATTTGAATTAATTTGATAAATATCATTATATTATACGAAAAATGATTTTTAGCGAAGACGGTTCGTCAGCCTGTATTGTAGTAACATTTTTAAACTACAAAAAAATTACTAAGATTGTTACTCTCCAATCTCCATTTAAATGTCTAATTTCGTCCAAATTTTAACTTGAAATAGGTATCTATTAAAAAGATATTATTTTTATAATTTTTAGATTGTTTGTTAGCACTAGGAGATATTTATGAGAAACCTGATTTTAAATTTAAGTAATATTGATGATGAGTATTGTTAACATTTGATTATTTGAAATAAAAAATGGTAGTATAAAAAAAAAATTCTTACATAATATTATATGTATCTATAATATTTTCGAATCACTGTTATCAAAACTTATAAGGAACCTTGCATTAAATTTTCAAGATTTTGACCTATCTAAAAAAATTTAAAAATATCGTACCAAATATTTTGAAACCCAAATTATAAAAAAGAAAACACACACATACATTATTGTTAAACCGATACATTCATCGCTCCGTTCAGAACGTAAAATAAGTTTATATAATATTCATTGTATTATTAACACAAATATTGAAATTATAATTTTTTTTTATCTTAGTACCTACTACTATTTTAATAATGTTGAAGTTTAAAATGTTTAAACACAAATCATATTTGATAAAATATTCTTATTTGATAGCTGAGTACAAAAATAGACGTAAGATTATAGCGAGGAATGATGTTCAATGTACTATTTCGAGTAACTCAAGGGGTAAGACACTTTACAATAGAAGTTTATTTATGGTGTATTGGAAAACCCTCATGTAAAAGTGATTTTTTTTTCGATATATACCGAAGAGAATTTCAAGATATCATTCTATTTTTTTTTTTTATTAAATCCACTTAGTGTCAAGTTATACTCATATCAGTTATATGTTTTATTATATATATAAAAAAAAGGTCGCACTAAAAATATATGTCCTGGATACACGATATGCATATTACAGTTCATTCTACCATTCTAAAATAATAATATACTCAATCGGAGTTATTAAAATAATACCAGTGATACAAACGAGTTTTGTTTTGACTTTTGTAATAATAGTATTATATTATTATTATTATAATGAAAGTACATTTATATTTAATAATGATACATGAATATACCTACTATAGCTACTATAACTATTCAGTTAAGATTTTAATTTTAATTGCATTGTTCTGCATTATAATTTGCATAATAATAATTTATTAAAATTTCCAATTTAAAATCCCTTAAAATAGAGTACCCATATAAAATAACCTACCTATCTAAATTAATGGATAAAAATAAAGACAACAATAAATGAATGGTCAAATAATTAAAAATCAGCGAACTAAGGGTTATATCTATATTTCATTTTTTATCCGTTTTATTTTTAATAAATAATACATATGATTTTAACTAACAATACCTTATCACACACATTTTATATACCTAATATATTTCTGCAAATTACATTGATATAAAATGTGAGGTGAAATTTATTTTTATATAACATGACGTATAGGTACCTCTAACCACACAGTGTTTGGTCCCATCAGTAATTTTGTTCCGACAAATATTTTTAAAAATAATTTTCATTTATTTTTTTTTTTACATTTTCATACTTATTTTAACTAATGTTTTTTAATTAACTTAAACTCAAAATAAATTTAAAAACTAAGTTGTTTGTTTTTATGTTTCTTAAAAATCTGAGATAGCCAAATTTATAAAACTAATTTATGTAAATATTTTAAAAGTTTAATAATTAATTTCCATTGTGTACCTATCCAAATAGATGTGTAAGTTTTAAAGATTTGACAAGATATTGGTCGAGAAGTATACATAAGCAGCAACTGTTATTTACACAAAAAAACAGTGAAAAATCCTGTGAACAAAATGTTTTAAATAAATATTTACTATCTTACACAAAAATTAAACAAATAACAATTGACAAATAAAAGTTATTTCTTTGTTTTAAAAACATAGCTAGCTCCAAATACAGTTGTACAATATTTTAATTATTATTTTTTTTTATGCATAATCTAGAAAAGTAATCTAATATTATATTAAACCACTGAGAATATTAAAATATTCAATAAAAAAAGGACTAAAATTGCTTAATTTAAATATCTTAATTACAAGGAGAGTTGTATTCATTTTAACCTAAACGTAATCGAATCTATTAAATTATAGTATAAATCTTTGAGATAAAATATCATTATTTTTACATACTAATTTCATAGTGTTAGTAATATCTATATTCTATTGTATGAATATTTACCATTAATTTATATAAGATTAAGAGAATAATGTTATAAAATCTAAAAAGTCATAGGTAACCTACTTGCATCATTAAATACTTTCTTAAACTTTGGTGAAAAATTAATTGGATAATGTGTTAATATGTTAAATGTAAGTACTAAAATAAAAACAATTTTTTCGAACATTTTTAATAATTAATTAAAACTATTAATGTATAAATTAATGGTAAAATTAAGTTTCTATACTTTCTAAAATACAAACTATTATTGTTTATTTATCTTTATATACAGAGTGATTCTACTGTAAGTGTGTTGTGATTGAATTCCTCTTAAACGGTTGGACCGATTTGAATGAATTTTTTTGTATGCATTTGGGTGACGCCCCGGATTGTTTAGATTTACAAATCATCCCCCTAGGTCCAACCAGGGGATGTTCTTAAACGGGGATTTAGAGATTTACGGTGGAAATTTTTGTTTATAAATGGTTGCCATGGGTGTTTTAAAACTATTATAATAATAATTATTGGTTGGCGTGAAATCAGTGTATTCATTCAATGCTTTTAAATTTTTTTATACGCTGTTTTTGATATTATATGTATCGCAATTATTTAAATATTGAGCGTATTATAGTCACATATAAGTTAGGTACATAAAACAACGCTATTGGTCGACAGACTAGGCATTCACAATTAATCCAGCCGTTTAGGAGGAGTTCAGTGACATACTTGGTATAACTTTGATACTTAAGAGTTAAATTATAAAGTTACGTACAAACAGCATTGGGTCAGCCTATCTACCGCAGGTAGATTGCCTACCTGATAATATTCTGCTG